ATGATGGTGTGCAAGTTGTGCAGCTTTTAACAAGATTTTCTGTGTATTGAGCAGGTGAAATTATGTCAGTTGACATCAGACTGTCAGGATGCTGAAGAACCTGAGGCCATTGAAATATGATGTGGGGAAAATGAACAGAGTGATTTAAGTCTGATTTCAGACTATGTAAGTATTAGTTAAGCCAAAAGTAGGGGAAAACTTTTGTGGCCCTGAAGTTCTAATCCCAACCACATATGGATAGATTAATAAGCAAAATTTTCTGTGTTTAAGATTTTTGAGGTTGTTTGAGTGATGGGTTGATTCGGTCAGTTTGCTTTGGGTGTTCTTCTTATTTTAATAGAGGGAGTTTTATTAAACATGGACATGTCTAAGGGGGCCCATTATTTTTGTAACAGTGCACTTAGAGAAAACCAGGCAGGTGATTTTGTTTTGTGCTTTGATGAGCTAATAATCAGCTCTCTTTTTTCAGATTTTTGTTCTAAGCAGGCCTGCAAGAATAACAGTGCCGTAAAAATTTCCGGGAGAACAAACATAAGGTGAGCTTTTCCAGATTACAATGGGCGGAGGAAAAGGCTACCTGTGGGGACCTCATCAGGTTGTAAGTCCCTGTCTAAAAGGATTGCCGCGAGCCAATCCAGTCCAGAAGCATAAAGAACTATTTTCCTAAAAAAACAAAATAAAACAAATTAATGAGCTCATGTTGCTGAGGGTGGAGAATCTGATTATTTGCGCGGGAATCTCCACTATCAGCAATACCTGGTGTGAATGCGTGTGAATGAATGTGTGTAAATGGACGGTGACTGGACGGACGAGGTGGACTAAAAGTTGGACCGAATGGACACTGAGATAAAGACTGGACTAAGGTTAAACACATGACTGATAACTGTTCTGTTTTAAGTTTTCTTTCTTATAACACATAAAGGATCATAAGTGGGGAAAACTGAGTATGAAATGTGAAGTTCAGGTTAACACACAGGTTTTGTTTCTAGGAAGTTCCAAGGATGCAGGCTCTGGATGGAGACAGGAGTTCGAAAAGATTTGACATGATGATTTCATTCCTTAAACACAGGTTTGCAGGCCTGGAACAGATATACCTGAGAGGAGGATTGCTGAGGTGTTTTGAGAAATGATATGACTAACCTTTTTCTTTTAATTTCCTAAGCTTGGGTGAAGCATCTTGAGTTTCTGACACATAAGATGTGTCAAAAGGGGGGATTTTAGGTTCAATTTGAAATAATGGGTTTTAGGATCATTTTATGACTTTTGGGGTGTTTGATAATTTAGATATGGTAAAACCGAGGCAGAAATTGTTATTTTCATGTTTAAGTTAAAGGATTAAAATGAACTGAATCCTTTTTAGAAGATAAAATGCCGGTGTTAATAATCGGTTGAATACCAAACTTAAAGGGAAACTGTGGGACAGCTTGAATAAAACACATGCTTTGGTGAAAGGAGGGAAGATTTTAGGAGTAAAATGTTTGATTTATTTTTGATTTCTAGAATAAGCGGTTATAATGCAGGCTTACATATGCAGACATAACGTAAATTGGTTTCTGGGGTAGAGGTGAAAAACAGTTTGCTTTGTCTTTGCTTAGCAAGAAGTAATGCAGATGGTGTGAAAATAGGCCTGCTCTGAATAGGTCGACAGGACACATCTGGAGACTGAGACAACCATATAGGGCAAAGGTGGCAGAACTTGTAAATGTATGTGTGACTAAAAAGAGGAAGTAAGTTTAGCACAGGAGGATCATGATCAGATGAGAGAAGAAGAGAGCTTCTTAAGAGAGTGTTAAAAGTGTCGCTTACCCAAATGAATAACATTGAAGATTATAGACGTAGAAATGATTTTTATACACATTGCGATTGTGCTCATGAAAGAGTTGATGCTCAGTCTATTCAAGGTCTTAAGCTTCATCTGGCGCGATGTCCCGACGATCTATTGCGTAAGTGACTTGGAGCAATAGAAGGTTAAACCGCATACACGCTTACAAACACAAATGATTTAAACATAGGCCAGGCCGAGGGCCTGGAATTCATTTAGCTTCTAACTGCAGTTGAGCTTGCCTAGTAACAAGTGACAGAAGAAGAGTCAAGAAATTTTAAGTCCCCAGGAATCATCTGGAAGGTGAAACAAATTGCCATGTATGGAAGAATGTGATAGAAAGAGGAACGTCTCTGTCTGTTTTTAGGCTGATATGGTGATGGTGTATATCTTACCCTGGGCGTGTTTAATAAAACTAAAAGTGTTGCTCACACACATAAAGAGTATTGAGATTAAGTAAGATAAGATCAAGTAAAGATTAAGTAAAGTTAATATAAAGGCTAGGACCCAGAACATGATATTGTGAACCAACTTTGAATAATTAAAGGAACATTAGATGAACACAGTAGATTAGTGAGGTGTAGTAGAGAGAGGCGTTTTGTTTTCTATCCTTTACAGGAGAAGATTTCAGGACCACAGCGACCACAGGGGTGGCGAGAATCCTGGAAGCTCGAGACCAAATGGAACCAATCAGAGAAAGGGGAACCCAAAAAGAAGCAAAGAGAACCATTGTTCCAGAAAATGTGTTTAACAGACTAAAAGCTTGTTAGACAAAGGTTAAATGTGAGCATAAAAGATATGCGAAGAAATCAGGACTAAGTTTAAAGAAGAAATGAGGTAAATTTTTAAAGAGGAAACAGGTTAACTTTATAGAGGCTGTTTCCAAACCAGTGACAAAAGTAAAGTATGATCTTTTACCAGGAAAAGCTAATTTTATCTTTTTGGAGTTTACAGTGTAGACTGAGGGAAGTCAAGAGTAGTTTTAAACTGGGATTGAAAGAAAATTAAACTGGGATTCTAGTTGACAAGGGGGTGAAGGACATAGATTTAGGGCAGCTCACAGCCTGGCGTAAATGCATGGTGCTGTCTCATCACTTGATTTATTGATTTGATTTATTTTTATGACAAAAATAATAAGGAAACATTGAAAACATACAACCCGTTGAGGGGACAGATAGGGTTGGGCAATTGAAAGGTTTTGTTTTGTTTAGCATAATTTCTTTTGTTATATTTTAGCTTTTAACATGGAACACGCCTCTCTGGAGCTTCTCTCCTTAGGCTACCCCCCCCCCCCCCCCACCAAAATCCCATCTCCATAGAGACTGTGTCAGCTCCCAAACAGACAAAACAAACTGCAGCCAGCAGTAAACAACTTAAACATAAACAATCACAAAGAAAGAACAATAAAGAATCCACATCTGAACCAAAGAGAAAAATTGGAATTGGAAAAATTGAATTGGATTGAATTGAAGTGAACTTAATGGCATAAATTAGGAATTATGTCGTGTTTCTTACAAAACACAAAAAGGGGAAGAACTGTCATGAAATCAATATCCTTAGTATCCTCATTGTCCTATTATATTGTTTTATGTACTTTAAAATGAAGGCTTGTAGAGCAAGGCCACTTGCTCAGCCAGTGTTCAGCCAGACTGAAAAACAGGAAGTTTTAGTGCACAGGCATATTAATAGATAAGACACAGAAAAGAGGAACTTTCCATATAAGCAATGTTTGAAACTGTGTGTGACGTGTGTGACGTCTGAAGTACAGAAATAACACCATATAAGACACATGTTGAACTAAAAATGTTAGAGCTCTTGCAACTGGCGTTTGAGCTGTGCAGGGGTCTCTCTCTTCCGGAAGATGATTGAATAAAAAGAAATATAAATTTTTTAACACACTATGAGTCGGTTTTCTCTGTTCTATCGTGGGGACAAAAGAATCGGGGTTAATACTGTCAGTCACGTAGCAGAACTTGGGAACAGAGCAGCTGTGAAATCTGTCTGTCTTTGTTATTACGCTCAGCGTCTGTTAGTTTACATGTTGACTGCACAATTGCGAACTTTTTGTTATGCACAAAAACAACATTGTTTTCTTTTATTTATAGAGCATTATTATTTATTAAATGCTAATTATTTATTTGAGTAATTTTTCATGTACATCTACATTGTATGTTAATAAAAGTGCCTGTATGACATCTGGGACACAGCTTTGACTAAGAACTCTCTTTTTGTTCTTACTTTATGGCTTTAAAAAAACATTGAGATATATATCGTATATTGCCATCCAGCTAAAAACTATCTAGATATAAATTTTGGGTCATATCGCCCAGTCCTAATTGCAGCCAGAGGCGGAGGCAGAGTCAGGGCCGCCATCTGGGCCTCCCCTGACAGTAGCAGCTGCAACAGCAGTGCCCACTTCTCCTCTGGCCAACGACACACCAGTGCTTTGGCGCGGAAAGTCTCTGTAAAAATTTGCAAATCGTTGCCCTCCCCCATCCGATGCAATGCCACCGACAGCAAAAGGGAGGGGGCCGGCGCCAAAGCAGCCTCCACCTCTTTCCCCCGTCACTGCCCTGAGAGCTCACTGTACCTCCCCTCCACTGCAGCAGGCCAGAGACCACACCCACGCCCCACAGTGACATAAAGTCTCATGCCTCCTTATCCACAGTGTAGATGTCAGTGTCCTCTGGGTCCTTACTGATCATTGCATTTCTGTCACAATTTGTCAAGGTTTACAGACTGTGCGCAGTCAAAGTGATTGGAGGGACTGACAGAAAAGCAAGGAAATAGATCAGGCACCCGGAAATCAGAAGACTCATAATGAATGTGATTAAATCTGCCAGCATCTGCAGATCCTGGGGAACTGTATTTGTGAGGCTGATTGTATTATATAGAAGTGAACTCATCTCCAACTGAGCAGTGCACTGACACAGAGCAATGAGATCAGAGGAGAAATGATTGAGTTGATGATTATCACCTATGGGTCCATCACAGTCTTTAAAACAGAGCTGTATTAATAAAATTTACTTACAGGATAATCAGGATATGACTTTGATAAAAGCTGACACCCAGAAATGTTTAAGAAACTGACATTTCCTGCTGCTATGATTTTTTAAGGGTTCATCACACATTACAGGGTTTGTGTTATAAATATAAGACTAATCACAGAGTTACTTACAGAGCTTTGTTGGAGGCGTTGACAACTGGCAGCAGCCCTAGAAGACCTTCCTCTGAAGCAGAGTATTTCTTCAGGTCAAACACATCCAGATCTTTTTCTGATGACAGTAAGATGAAGACTAGAGCCGACCACTGAGCAGGAGAAATTGTATCGTAGGACAGACGTCCTGATCTCAGGGACTGTTGGATCTCCTCCACTAGAGAACGATCATTCAGTTCATTCAGACAGTGGAACAGGTTGATGCTTTTCTCTGCAGACAGATTCTCATCGAGCTTCTCCTTGATGTACCGGACTGTTTCCTGATTGGTCTGTGAACTAATTCCTGTCTGTGTCAGCAGACCGCGTAGGAGAGTCTGATTGGTCTGCAGTGAAAGACCCAGGAGGAAGCGGAGGAACAAGTCCAGGTGTCCATTTGGACTCTGTAAGGCCTTGT